AAAAAAAAACACAGTAGCTTTCTTTCTTTTGTCAGATCTTTGTGAATCCATACTGAGTTTACAGTTAAATTCAAGTCCTTATGTCTCTTTCATATGACAACCATCACCACTGTTCTGTAGTTGTGAAGGTAAAAGAAACCATTATAATATCTTTTTTCCTGATGATCTTACTATATATCTCTTTATAAAATGTGAAAATCAAAAGTGTGATTTTTGATATTTAATAGCTGTATATAGTATTTTGTCATGTGAAAATGTCGACTTATTTAACCAGCCCCCTAATGGTAGACATTAAGATTGTTTTCAAAGAAAGTATTTCCTATTACAAAATCATGTTACCACATATATCCTGCTACATAAACACAATCTAAATCTTCCCACCATTGACAAGGCCCTCCATGATCTGGCCCCTAACTACTCTGGCCTGACCTTGTATTACGCTCTCCCACTTCTCAATACTCTCCAGCTACCCTGGCCTTTTCAGCTGTTCCTTGGTAAACCAAACTCATTCCTGTCTGAGGCTTTTTCCTGCATTTGCTGTTCCCTTTTTTTGAAATGTTTTCCCTCTGATTCTTTTCCCTGACTTATTCCTTCACTTTGTTCAGATCTCTGCTTAAGCATCTTCCTCCTTGGAGAGGTCTCTCCCAAGCACTCTTTTCCTACCCCAGAATTCTCTATGGCTTCACTATATTTCTGTTTCTCTCTTATCATCATCTAAAATTATTTTATTTATTTGTCATGGTGTGTCTCTCTTCACACGAATGTCTTTAGTTTTGTAAGGCCAAGGATCTTACCTGTCTTGTTTGTTGTATCCTTAGCACCTAGAAACAGTGTTTGATATATATCTAGGTGCTCACAAAAGATTTGTTGAATGAATAAATCTTTTTATGTACCAGTGACTATTTCCTTAGCATAAATTCCTATGTGTATAATTACTGGACCAGAGGACAGGAACATTGTTAAGATTAAAAAAAGTTTTTAATGTTTATTTATTTTTGACAGAGAGAGCGAGAGAGAGAAAGAGCATGAGTGGGGGAGGGGCAGAGAGAGAGGGAGACACAGAATCCAAAGCAGGCTCCAGGCTCTGAGCTGTCAGCAGAGCCCGACGTGGGGCTTGAACTCACAGACTGCAAGATCATGACCTGAGCCGAATTCGGATGCTCAACCAACTGAGCCACCCAGGCACCCCTCATTGTTAAGATTTTTGATAAGTATTTTTTAAAAAGATTTTTATTTTTAAGTAATCTCTACACCCAACGTGGGGCTTCAATTTATCAACCCTGAGATCAAGAGTCACATGCTCTACTGACTGAGCCGGCCAGGTGTATTTTTGTATTTTTGATACATATTTTCAAAGTGCCTCTCAGACGCACACCAATTTTCATACCTAGTAGCAATAGAGAGGAATGCCCACATTAGTCGCCCTTGCCAATACCGGACATTATGACGAAAAAAATCTTGTTTCTTTGAGTAAGACAGGACAAAAGACAAAGT